TGTGTGTGTTTGTGCGCGTGTGTGTGCGTGCGTGTGCTCCAGCACGTGTGTCAGAGCCAGAATTTGAATCCAGGCTGTCTGGCCAGAGTCCAGTCTCCTTCCTCCTTTGCTCCTCTAAGTGCTTTCTGCAAACCATCTCTGCCTCAGCTGTGGCTGGTCAGCGTAGGTGGGGGGCACACCCCACGTTAGATGTTCAGCACAGTCTGGAGTTGCTCCACTCATCGCCTGCACCCAGCTAGATGAACCCCTTGAAGGCTTGTGTCTCTGAATGAACACTGTGCAGGCCACAGTGCCTGGTTCCCCCAGTGCCCCTGGAATACGGGAGCCGTGAATTTTGAGGGAGGAGAGGTAGCAGCATCCTGACCCTCTACTTCAGGAACAGGGGCTCAGACAGATGTGACTGAGGCCACACAGCTGTAAGTTCTGGTCATTGGGCATCCAAGGGCCTCCAGATTCCACGCTAAATACTACAGCACTGATTCTTTAGTAATGAGGGCATTATATTGTAGTGAGGGCATTATATTAACTGATTGACATCAGTTAAACAAAACTTGACAACCTTTCACTATTACAAGGAGCTTCAAGGAAGTCTTTAGACTTGTTTGCCCACTTCCTCAGCCCGCAGCCCTAGGCTGAGATTGTTGGGTCTGCACATTTTAAGTCTGGACACTACTAGGTTACTTTCTCAACACGTGGCCCCAATTTACCATCTCCTGTCTCCCCAGGCTACAAGAGTCCCTGCTTTCTGTGCTGTGTGTGTTCAACTTCAAAAAACCCTTCAGAGACTGTATGAGGGGTTTCTGGGACAAGTTCTGAAGGTGCACAGGATTTCTCTTAACAGAACCTCCCTTCTCCCAGACAGCTGTCAGAAATGGCTTGGGTGTAGAGACTTTTTTTTTTTTTTTAAGGCTTCTGCAGCTCACCCCTCTGGGAATAAGGCTCAGCTCCCAACGTCCCGAAAGTCCAGTGGACACCTGCCGTCAGATCCGAGGTGCACTAGGCTACTAATGCAGACTAAAGGCAGGGGGCGATAAGGAGCATGCAGAGGTAGGTTCCTCCGTCACTCACTAGAAAACCAGCTGCCACCTAGGCTCTGAGTAGGAGTTTCTTTTCATGTGGTTTCCTAAAATAGGAGTCGTAACCAGCTTGGGAAGCTTCACCCAGCAGAACGGAGAAACAGAATGGACCAGAAGAGTTGGTGAGATCACTCAGTCCACTGCTATCATTTATCAGATAAGGAAACTGAGAGCCAGAGCTGGCGAGCGAGCAACTCGAAGTAATACAGGAAAGGAACACAAGCAACGGCAGAATCCTGTTCGGAGCCCGGCGACCTGACTTCTAGCTGGGGGCTCTTCCTATCACAGCAGGGCCCGTCCGTCACCTCTGCTGAAGGTCCTTCTTTAAGTCTAGCTTTCTTCACGCTCTGTTGCTCCTGAAAATGGGCAGAACGGTAGGTTTCTTGAAAAGGGATGTCTGGATAAGAATCCCCATAGCATATCTGTGCTTTTGTGCATCCTGTTCTCACTTCCTGGGGTTTCCTTCTCTGCCTAACTGGTTATGTTTTGTGAAAACATCCCCTCACTCCCCAGGGCAGCCGGTTGTCCTCCACTCTCTGGTTCCAGGCCCTGACCTTGCCCCAGCGCTCAGAACACTGGACGGTGCTCGCTGGCTCCTTCCATGTCTTCTCCACAAGATCTTCCATTCCTTGAGCACACAGATGGATCAAATTCTCCTCCGCAACCCCAGCACACACCGTTAGCTCCAAGGGCACGGACTTTGGACCACCAATGCAGGCGGGGAGGGAGTTTATCCTACCCCATCAGCTCCTGGCTCCCCGTAGGAGTTCGGTGCCGCTGAAGGAAGTTTTGCAGTATGAGGAGCTTCTAATCCTGGAGCTGTGGAGTTTTCGACAGATACTGCCTGGCGGTGCCAAGCAGGTCAGACTGACAAATGAGTGGGCACGAAAAGGCACAGAAAGCCCTCACATGTGTCCAGGCCTCCAGGGCACAGGGCACAGGGCACTCTCCCCGGTGACCTCATGGGAGTGAACTCTGTAACCACAATCTAGCATGACTCCTGTGAGGCTCAGCTCTTCTCCTTCTGCCGGGAAAACTCCCCAATCTGCTTAATCCAGACCCCAGGATATGGCACAGAGGGAAGGAGTCAATCAAGTTAGGAAATATGTGACTGGACATAAACCGAACTTAGCTTATAGGATTTGGGAGGAAACAAAAAAAGTAAAACACCCTACACAGGGAGCAGCTCCCATAAGAACTACACCCTTGTCCTCAAGTAGGCTGAGCTTTCCCGGATCTGGGCTTCTTAAGGGTTTCAGAAAAGAACACACAAGACATGGAATGTGGGATTTCATTATCTCCAGTTTACTTAATTCGCTTGTTTACACACACGATCTGTGTGTGCATAACAGTGGCAAGAGCCATTCTCTAAATACAATATGCCACTCAGATGGCGACAGACGCACATGGAGAATGAGGCGCCAGTGAATGAACCTCAGCAAGGGAGGCAAAACAAGCACGGCAGAGTTCTGGGATCCCAGATGCCCTTCAAAGCGTCCTGTTCAGCACCTGGAGACAACAGACACTTTCCAGAAGATGATGCACGACTATTTCAATGGGAGACCCAGACCCCAAATGGTACTCAAAAGTAGATGCTTGTTTCCCCGGCTTCCCCGAGGAGCCAAGAAGTTTAAAGGCTTGGAGGGCAAAAAGGGAGACAAGGGATTATCGTCTGCTGAGCACAGGTGCGGGGCATTTTACCTACATCACCGCCCTTAATCCTCCCAGTTTCATCTCCTCCGTTGTCGAGATGTGGCCATGAAGCTTGCTGCGGTCAGACGGCTCTCAGCGGCGATGCCAACACTGGAACCCACGTCTTGGGTTTCCCGAAGCCCACACTCTCAGCTATGCCAGGCGCTCTCACTGGGGGACATGGGGCATGTCCCCAACAGAAAGGCGAGGGTGCTAAGACCGAACAGGAAGTGGTGAATGACCACTTGATACACAAGGGTCAGTCACGGACACTTTGCACAGAGTTAACTTAACGCTGAGCCTTAATCCCAACCTCGAAAGAGAAACGGCTGGAGATTTACATGCGGCAAATGAACATGTGGAGTCACCTAGTGCCTGCTGCCTTTGGGTGCTGAACACAAAACTTAGGAGAGAGCCCAACTCCTTCAACAAGCCCCGGCCACCTACACCACCCCCTCTTCCACTCCCCATTCACAGACGGAAACTCCAGAGGGCAGAAAATTTCTCAAGGGGCCCGTGACATCTGGACAAGGCTCCCAGAGCACCCCGGTGACACCTCTGGAATCTCAGCGCCAGTGTTTCTGCCACCTCTGGGTACAGTGGGTCACAACTCCCATTTTCATGGATACGAATTAACATGCAGCCGGATGGGATACCAGCTACAGGTTTTAAATACATCTTTATAGGAAAGACAGTTTACCCTGAAGATTTTCTGGGCCTCAAGCTCTTAACAATCTAAGCTTGAGTTAAGGCAGTCAAGTGTAGTGCTTGTCGGTTAATGCTATTATCAGGCTTAACTTGGGGGGAGAGGAGGAACATCAAGGAAGCTTCCAGGATGATTATACAAAGTGCAAGGGGCCAGGACAAAAGGCCTAAGGACGCAGCCTGCGGGGGCATGGGGGGTGGGAGTGTGTCCTGTCACAGAGCTGTAACCGCACCTTCATGGGTAGAGGTGATAAGCCTCAGAAGGACAAGGTCAGACATCGGGAAGTGTGCAATGGGGAAAGAAAAGATTGATTTCAAGGCCAGCTGAACAGGCCTAGGTTTGGTCTGGTGTTGGTACAAGTAGGAGGGTGGGGCCAAAGTCACTCCGATATTTAATAAGGACATTTTTGCAAACAGGTTGGCTTCTTGCCATCAGAGGCAATGGAAGCATTTTCCTTCACCTCTGATTTATCATAATCTCATCCAAAATGTAAAAATCCCTTGGGCCAGAGCAGACTGATCACTAACATGCTGTTTAGATCAACCGCCGATGCGTGGTCAGGAAAGTTTCAGTGCCAAGAATGTATTTTGCAAAGTTACTCTGACTCAGCTTAAAGTTCATTCAGTTGTCATGAAAACGTCTGCTTTCGGATTTTATTCTTTATAGAGAAAACAGCCCCTGAAGTGAGGTGGAATTTAATACTATAAGCCAAGAGTTTTGATTATAAAAAGTAAATCAGTGTTCTAAAAAAAAAAAAGCAAAAACCCCCAACAAACCTCAAGCTATCTACACACGTACCAAAGGGCAGCACTGAAGTTCTGGGTTATTTTCGGGGGTTTTGTCAACAAAAAACAAATGCCATAGTTGTTATTAAAAACAATAAAGCATTTGCTCAAAATTGTAGGAAAAAAATGTAACCTTATTGCTCCAAAAACCAATACATAATAGACAATACACACAGAAAACTAGCCATGTTCATTACATAAATATCATCCAACACTCAGCCAGAGAGGCACTCCAGTGTCACTGTTTTGGTAGCTAATCACAAGTCAGTTGCAATATATAACATTCTGAGGATAAGCAAATATCTCCACCAGAGAGCGTCTTTCGGGCAGTTGGCTGGTTTATAAAGAACCCTGCTGGAAATAAATGCTTATGCAAAACTGACCCGAGGGTAATACTGTTAAACCACAGCATTAACAATACCAGACTCCAGGATCAGGGAGAGAATGATGGCAGCAGAGAAGGGTCCCGAGGCCCAGGCCTTCCCTTCAGCCACACAACAGAGGCTTTCCTAGTTCTGTACTCTCACTGAGCGTTAGCCCTGCCCTCCAGGGACAAAAGGAACATTACAGATTAAGGTCAAGCCTCGCCAGGGACAAAAAGTGCCCGACTGGGAATGGTGGTGCTTGTGACAAGAAGTGTGGGGATTAAACTCACTCTCCAGACTCCACCACCACTCACCAAAGCTTCCTGGTAAGCTTCCTCTTTAAAGTGGGGTCAATAATTTAGTTGAATAACTAAGAAAAAGAATGGAAAAAAATACATCAGCCATTGTCCTGCCGTCACCCCTTTTGTTTCTCTTTTATTCCTTGTTAACTGTCTCGCTTCAAATTCAAACTAGAGCTCTGGGGAGGCAGTCCTGGGGAAAAAGCCTTCAGATACCAAAATCCGTAAGTCCCATACCAGCTCAGCAGACCAAACAAGGTGCCGAACACCTTCTGGGTCAAGTTGTGGAAGTAAACAGCTGTGCACAGAAACATAGACACCCAGATGAAGGTCAGGCAGCCCAGGGCCACCACCAGGCTGGTGATGGCCGTGTGCAGGCAGTGGCTCCGGTCCGTCCTCACCTCATGCAGCACGGCCATCTCCTCCACAATCATAAGGGCGCAGAAGGTCAGCAGGAAGGAGTGGCCCGAGATGTCAAAGCCATGCCAAAAGCCTCCTCCCCCGTGGCACTGCTGCTTATTCTGGTGCTCCTTTCTGACCCCCTCCAGGGAGGGCGACTGGTAGCAGCTGCCTGTGTAGTGTTCGATGTTAGAGAAGAGGACTGTGCAGACATACCAGATGGCCGTGCCCACCAGCAGGGTACTCAGCCGCCGCAGGACCAGGCCGGCCTTGCCTGTCAGGTGGTAGTTGGTGAGGGCAATGAAAGGCAGGAGGAGACAGAAGGTCCAGGCCCAGGCCAGTTTGACAAAATACCTGGCAGAAGATGAAAGTGGAAGTGAAGACAGGGGACATGGCGGAGAGGAGACAAGGTCATGACTCGGGTCTCTAGACTCTCAAGGGAGGGGAAATAAGGAAAGTTGATAAAAAGCTACAGATTACAACTTCACTTACTAAATTTCAAGCGGAATAACTCCTAAATCCTTATTATTATCCCCATTTTACAGATAAGAAAACTGAGGCATAGAAGTATCATGCCCAAAGTAGAGGTTCTAAGTGGTGGCGCTGGGATTCAAATCCCAGGCCTGTGATCTTAACCTGTGATCCAGGGCCTGGGAAAGTGGACACATAGAACACTCATGGTTACCCTGGGAAGAAGGTCTCGTTTGCTCCGTTTCATAGAGAATGCAAGACTCAGAAAAGTTCCGTAACTTGCCCAGGGTCACAATCACACTATCAGCGAGCCCAGAGTAAATCTAGGTTTGGCCAGCCCAAAGCGCGTGTTTTTTCTACACCGTGGCTCTTTCCTCCATGGCAGCAATGATCTCAGAACAGAGTTTGAGTTCAAGCCAGAAGACCGGGTTCAAATCCTGACTCTGACTCAACCTGTTACCACACGTCTCCAGGCCTCAGTTTCCCCAGCTGTAAAATAGACCTGAGAAGAACAAATGAGGTTTGTTTTTTTTTAAAAAAAGATTTTATTTATTTATTTGACAGACAGAGATCACAAATAGGCAAAGAGGCAGGCAGAGAGAGAGGGAAGCAGGCTCCCTGCTGAGCAGAGAGCCCGATGCGGGGCTTGATCCCAGGACCCTGAGATCATGACCCAAGCCAAAGGCAGAGGCATTAACCCACTGAGCCACCATCCAGGCACCCCAACAAATGAGTTTTTAAATCCCTCCCAGAGCCAATGATTCAGTCGTTCCCTCCGATTAGCACAGAGGCTTGGAACAAAATGTCAGAATCCATGGTCATGGTTACCCACAAACAACAGGGGCCTGTCTGCCAGGCCACTTGGCTCCCAGCCCACCCAGGCCAGATAAAGCAGTGGCTGCCTGTCTGCCTCCCCTCGCTCGTCAAAGGTGGCTGACCTGGGGACCAGCCATGGGAAACACACATGCAGGAGGCTTGGGGCTACAACCACACTCATCACCATCTATTCTTAGCCCAGCCACCAGAGATGGGTGAGGAAGGAAAGGGGGGCCAAGGACAGGATGACTTTTTCCTGGGTTCCCAGGGCTACTCAGTCACCACCCAAGAGCCTGTCATTCACATCTTCCCTGGGAACTGACATGCACGATCTGTCACGGCTGGGGAGAGAAACCAGGGTTTTAAGTAGATAAGCGAAGTCGGGCTGATTTTTTGGGGAGATCTTGCTGACACTCTAATTCTAAAGAATCTAAGCTCACTTCAAGGCAGAAGTTTTATCCTTCAGATAAAATTGTACTACTTTACTACTGCAAGTGTTTTTGTGCAAAACCCTTGAAATCCAGGAGTTAAAAACAATACAGAAAAAAACAGGCGCGAGCGGGTGGAGTTAAGGAGGTGTCTCAAAGAGCACAACTGGGCTTGCTTCCCTGGGCCACTGCCATGAACTCTGAGTGGCTGAGAAGGTCCAAGGAGATCCAGGGTAAAGGTCAGAGGCTGGAGGACTCCGCTCCTCGGGGACTATCTCGGAGCGGGGGTCCCATCATAGGCGGGGGCGAGGCTCGCAAAGGTTAGGGGGTGTCAGGGCGAGAAGGCACAGGTGGTGACGGGATTCTGCCACAAGCCGGGGATAGGGGCGGGGTGGGCATGGGGTCGGACACCGCGCGGGGTCTGACGCAGATAGGCAGGAGGAAGGTGGCATCTCCAAGCAGGTCCGGGGCTTACTCCTAACTCCAAGGGGAGGTGGGGGGGCGCCGCGACAGAGGTTAATTCAACGCCCCATCCCGACCCCCCCGAGCCCCGCACACGCGCGCGCGCACACACACAGCCCTGCCCGGCACTCCCTGCCCAGTCAACTCCAGCCGGCTCGTCTGGGCGTGCAGACATCAACTGCTAGTGACACAGCCATTCGGGGTTCCTCGGGCGCGACACGCGTGCACATGCAGCTGTCACAATGAAGAGGGCCTCCCCGTCCCATGGCTCGTCCATCAGGGCAGCTAAGCCCCTGCTCTATGGACGAGGCGACGGGGGGTCGGCTAGGGCAGGGACAGGAGAGGACCCGGGGCGTACTCACACGTTGAAGACGTTGCGCTTGTTGCTGAGGTAGCTCTCGGGCAGCGGGGAGAGCTCCTTGAGGACGGAGCCCGCCAGCATGCAGGCCGCCAGCGCCCAGGGCAGGTAGCGCCGCACCGCCGCGTGCACCAGCGTTCTCCGGAGGAGCCTCGCGCAGCACTCCAGATGCTCCATGCCCGACCTCGTCGGCCACCGTCCGCTTCCCCGCACCTCTCGGCCACCGTCGTGCCCTGCGCTCGGAAGAAGCCGCGGCGTCCCTTTGGACGCATGCGCGCCGCCCGCGAGCCCCACCCCTCCCGGAGCGCGAGCGCGAGCGCTCCCCCTCCCGGCCACTGGCGGCCTCTGCAGCGCGTCCACTCCCGAACGCCGGCCCTCTTCTCCTCCCAGTCCCGCCGCCAGGCGGCAGGCGAGGAGTCTTGTTCTGGGTCTGGGAAGAAGCTCTCCTGGGAGTATTTGCTGGAGATGGGGAAGAGTAAATGCAGTGCTGTAGGAGTTAGAGAAGCAGTCATAGCACCATTTAGTCTCTCCTAAAAGCTTGGAGACACCGCCTCCATCCGCGCCTTAGTTTTCTCCTCTGTAAAATGGGGAGAAAAGAGGAGCTCAGCCCTTCGCAAGAGTTAGTGTATGAACCCGAGGTCATTAGGGTGATCCAGGTATAGGGAAATGAGATTTAATTTTATTAGAAAAGAAGTGCACAAAATAATTACTCAATTTAAATGCTTAGTTATTAGTTTTTTTTTAAAAAAGCTTTTAAAACAACTATTGTACTGAGTGAAAATGCTGGACTCTGGGGGTTAGGATCAGATAACGGTGTGGTGACTCAGTCACTCGGTTTATCACAGAGCTAAACCCTCTGACCCCCCCATCATGGCTGGGTTCCTAACTCAGTGTTTCCCAAATTTCAGGCTCCTCACCTCCCCCCATCCCGCATTGTATCAGTCTCTTAGGACTGCCATAACAAATTACTACAAACTTCTTTTTTTATTTCTTTTATTTCTTTTATTTATTTATTTATTTTTAAAGATTTTATTTACTTGAGAGAGCAAGAGCATGAGCAGGGGAGGAAGAGGGAGAAGCAGACTCCTCGCTGAGCAGGGAGTCTGATGCAGGGCTCTATCCCAGGACCTTGAGATCACAACCCCAGCCAAAGACAGACCCCCAGTGGACTGAGCCACCCAGGTGTCCCTAAAGTTCTTTTTTTAAAAATTTATTTATTTATTTGAGAGAGAGGGACAGAGATAGCAAGAGAGAGCATAGGTGGGAAGGAGAGAGAGAAGCAAGCTCCCCACTGAAGGGAACCGGTTGTGGGGCTTGATTATGTCATGAGATCATGACCTGAGCTGAAGGCAGATGATTAACCGACTGAGCCACCCAGGAGCCCCTACTACAAACTCCTTGGCTTAGAACAACAGAAATTTATTTTTTCACAGTTCTGGAAGCCAGAAATCCCAAGGGATTGGCAGGGTTGGTTCCTTCTAGAGACTCTGGAGACACTCCTGCCCATGCTTCTCTCCCCGCTTCTGGTGCCTGCGGGCAATTTTTGGTGGTTTTTGGCTTGTAACTTTATAGCTCGGGTCTCTGCCTCCATCAGCAGCACGTGGCCTTCTCCTCTCTGTTCCAGGCTGGTTTTCTCAACTGTGGGTTCAGCAACACCACACTGGGAGCTTAAAACCAGCCACGATGGAAGTTTACACCAGTGAAACTGGCAATCACTATAAACCAGGGCTTTATCTGGTTTGTTGATTGTTGATTCTGTTTCTTATCAGGACAATAGTCCTTGGATGTCGGATCTACCCTAAATCCAGAATTATCTTGAGACAATCCTTAGTTATGTCAGCAAAGACCCTATTTCCAAATAAGGTCACATTCCCAGGTTCCAGGGGTTAAGACACATCTTTTTAGAGGTCACTCTTCAAGCCATTATAAACACCTTAACTGATTGTTCTATGTCCATACACCACCAAATACTATTATTTACATAAAGCTTTTCTTTAAACAGCACATGCTTCAAACTTAAATACCTCCCGAACAGCCTCTCAAGCCAAAAATATCCTTGAAATCATGGATTCTGTGTGTCAGTTATATTTATTCTATTACAAATAAAACATTTATATTGAAATATTCATCATCACCAGCCGCCTAAAATAATCTCACGCACCTAAATCAAGGATAGCTACCAAACTTCGGGGAACACTGGCCTGATTTACGCCTAGAATGGGCTAATGTTTAAAGTCTCTCGTGCAGAGAATTAATAAACTAATGAGAATAAAAGCATTAATTCCTTAGCCACCTCAAGATGATCTTCATATCTGTAAATTTGCATTTACCTAATCAGGGTTCTTCCATAGCAAGATGTCTCTGGGCCTTCAAGAAGTTGCATATTAAAAAGAAAATATAGTGGTGATCATACCAGTTTGGTTTTTCATGATTAGTAATAAAAACTACACAGCTAGAAAGATGTTATTTGTGAAGGCAGCTTGTGGATAATACCTGAAACCATCTCTAGCTTCTGAAGGTTGGTAGGTGCTCAGTTATTGTTACTTTCCATAGCAAAATGCACAAGGGTTAAGAACAGGGAGGTACACTGGACATTGTTAAAGTGTTTCATTAGTGAAAATCCAGATGCTGACCCCAACCCCAAGAAAAGGTAAAAGGGTGCTGGGTGAACAGAAATTCTAGACATCACCCAAACCGAACTTCCAAAAATGTACCTCCTGAAACGTTCAGGGTTTGTATTTCTTTTTTTTTTTTTTAAGATTTTATTCATTTATATTGAAAGAGAGAGAGTGCAACCAGGGGGAGCAGCAGGCAGAGGGAGAGGGAGGCTCCCCGCTGAACACGGAGCCTGTTGTGGGGCCCAATCCCAGGATCCCGAGATCATGATCTGAGCTGAAGGCAGGCACTTAACCAACTATAAGCCACCCAGGCGCCCAGGATCTGTATTTCTGTAGAAAGGATTTGGGTTTGGGGTGCCTGGGGGGCTCAGTGGGTTAAGCCTCTGCCTTCGGCTCAGGTCATGATCTCAGGGTACTGGAATTGAGCCCCGCATTGGGCTCTCTGCTCAGCGGGGAGCCTGCTTCTCCCTCTCTCTCTCTGCCTGCCTCTCTGCCTACTTGTGATCTCTCTCTCTGTGAAATAAATAAAATCTTTTAAAAAAAAGAAAAGAGGGGCGCCTGGGTGGCTCAGTGGGTTGAGCCACTGCCTTCGGCTCAGGTCATGATCTCAAAGTCCTGGGATAGAGCCCCGCATCGGGCTCTCTGCTCAGCGGGGGGCCTGCTTCCTCCTCTCTCTCTGCCTGCATGTGATCTCTCTCTGTCAAATAAATAAATAAAATCTTTTAAAAAAATAAATAAATAATAAAAATTTAAAAAAGAAAAGAAAGGATTTGGGTTTGATCTACCTAAGACCGTGTAGCTTCATCCCTGGAGAATTTTGAAGATTAGGTTAAACCCAGACCTGAAAAATTGTTAAGTCTCTAAAAAAGTTTCTTTCCTTTCTTCCTCCCTCCCTCCCTCCCTCCTTCCTTCCTTCCTTCCTTCCTTCCTTCCTTCCTTCCTTCCTTCCTTCTTTTCTCTCCCTCTCTTTCTCCCTTCCTTCCTTTTTTCTTATTTTCTTTCTTTCTCTCTTTCTTTTCACTCCTTCCTTCCTTCCTTTTTCTCTCATTTCCTTCCTTTTCATTCTTCCTTTCCCTTTCTTTTTCTTTCTTTCTTTTCCTCCTTCCTTTCCTCCCTCCTTCCTTCCTCTTCCTTCCTTCCTTCTTTTGCTCCCTCTTCCTTCCTTTTTCTTTCTTTCTTCATTTTATTTCTTTATTTCTTTCCTTCCTTCCTTCATTACTCCCTCCCTCCCTTCCTCCCTCCCTCCCCTTCCTTCCTTCCTTCTTTCTTTTCTTTTTCCTTTCCTTTCCTTCTACTTCAACCCATATCAGAAAATCCATGTTTCTGTCCTGAGTCCAACAGTGTGCTGGAGCCAACCTATTCAGGCCTGTGAGAGCAGAGTGTTAGGTTTTCATGGCTTTTGCAAGCTGATCATTAAACACAGCCATTATTTAAAATTACATTATATAAACTAACAACTAAACTCAACATAAATATTCAAAACTCATTATTTTCTAATTAGTTTACTATATGTCCTAATTTACCTTTGCTCTTAGAATTACTTGCACCCACTGTATCTGTATGGTATGTTCCAGGCTGGTTTTCTCAACTGTGGGTTCAGCAACACCACACTGGGAGCTTAAAACCAGCCACGATGGAAGTTTACACCAGTGAAACTGGCAATCACTATAAACCGGGGCTTTATCTGGTTTGTTGATTGTCTAGATAGAGATGCAATTCCATTTGTCACGATTGAACTGAAACACTAAGGTGTTTATAGATACAAGAGTCCAGCAAAAATCAGTGAAAGCATCCTGTGAGAATCAATTTATTATCTGAAATTTACAGTAAAAAATATTTGTGCATGTCATGATTTATAAAATCTGTGCTACACACCTTGTGTTAAGAAACCCTTATGATAGGGTGCCTGGGTGGCTCAGTGGGTTAAAGCCTCTGCCTTCGGCTCAGGTCATGATCCCAGGGTCCTGGGATCGAGGCCTGCATAGGGCTCTCTGCTCCGTGGGGAGCCTGCTTTCTTCCCTCTCTCTCTGCCTGCCTCTCTGCCTACCTGTGATCTCTGTCTGTTAAATAAATAAATAAAATCTTTAAAAAAAGAAAAAAAAGAAACCCTTATGATAAACCTATGCATATATATACTTATGCATTGTCTTAGAGAGCTCATTGTTGAACATGTGTCGATAAATCACACTGTAGTCTAGCACACACATAAAAATATATCTGTAGCATATGAGTGAATGTGCAGGCTAATAGATACATAGACATAGCTGTAAACATAGCTTTATGATAGTTCGTGACAGAATACGCCTCTGCTATGTATGAGATACTCTGATATTTTGTTTCATTATAAATTAAATTTTTAGAAATGCTGGTCATGACCCGCGGAACTGATTTTACAACTCACGAATGGGTGGGGGGATCTGTAGTTTGAAAAACATGAGATTTTAAGGCACTGGAGGACCGTGCTCTGCCCTTCCCCACCAGAGGGTGATAGAAGACCACAGATACCAGCATTCTGCCCGCCTGAACCTTCCCTGGTACCACCTAGTGGCTAGTTTCCTGCCTCCTTTATTCAGCAACTATTGTTACAAGTGGGTCTCAAAGAATTTAAAAATCT